ATGAGATATCTGGTGCCATAATGTCACAAACGTCTCATCGAGGTACAATATATTAGGCCGCGAATAGCTCGATTCTTATCCACAAAAGTAAACATTCTACCTAGGCAGATGTGGTGACGGGCACTCTATTTTAAAATCGTCAGCTCCGTATCGTTACTTCTATGCGCCTACAGCGAGTTACGACCGAACTATCAATTTGAGTACTTGTATCTGATGTATATTGCCTGTGTATGATTTTTCCGGACAATACCGTTCTGATGACTCAAAAATTCTGGCTTCGCGAAAAGACGACGCTACGAAAGGACAGTTGTGGCCACTCGACAACGCCGACGTGCATAGGAAATGCAGAAAGTACTCGAAGAGGAGGCTACATTGTAACGGGGCACCCTGAAGCTTGTACTGGTGACAGTACAAGCTACTTATTCTGATAACAGAATAAGGCGGTGCCTCGTAACTTCACGTACACTCGTACGTGCAGAGGAAGACGGTAAGAAGAAGCGAGTACTTGGTTAGAGTAAAAAGTAGAACTGTATTTATAATAGTTAATGTCTGCAATAAATCACTATTTATCTTCATCTAACTATGTCTAAATACAAATGTGTAAATCAGTTATCTGCTCACCACTCATTGCGTGCGTCTGTCGTGGCGCGTCTTCGTTGGTTGATATAATGGCCTATATCAACCAATTAGGAACTACTTGGAAGTGCTACAGAATATTGTCCTTATGACAATATTCTGAGAATATAACTCTTATAGTTATATTCTATTAACAATTTCTTATAAATTGTTATGTAACGATTCACCCCGTTACATCACCCCCTTAACCATCAGTCACTTTAGTGACTGATTGACTAAATGGATACTCGTCCCAAATCATTTGGGACGGGGTTTGCACTTGTTGGTCCGCGTCCACTTTCCAACATCTCATCGCATGGTAAACAAGCCCATGCGATGCGCGAGCAAGGCCGCCGAGAGCGCGTCTGCACGTCTCTGTGCGGACGCCGAAGCAGAAACTACAGCAACTGATGTCCCATCGGTTGCTGAATCGACTCAGCCTGTATCACCTGGTGATGCAGGCGCTGGTCATGAAGACACTCGTGTCTTCACAGAGTACGAGCTTGGTGTCTCGTACTCTCCTGATACGGATGACGGATCCGTATCGACGGCAATTGAATCCAAGCCGCCTGCCAAGCGTGGCATGGACGATGCTTTGCGTCGCAGCATCTTTGGTTCATCTGATGAGTCAGATGAACCATCGCCGAAGCGAAGGCGCTCGAGGTCGCGAGACTCGGGCGCTAATAGTGGTGTCGTTTCTCCAATGGACACCACTTCACAGCGAGGTGCCAGTACTTCTGTCGGCACGTCGCAGGAAGAGCGGGACCGCAATGTGTTGCGTCTCGCTCCAGAAAAGAAGGCATGGATGCCTCCTAAATCTGTCATGGATCACTTGTCGGCGACGACGAGTGATCGTTATCGAACACGATTGTTCGATTCGTCGAGGATTCATCACCTTGACCCCAGCGCGAAAGACTATCGCGCTGAACATGAGTTCTTCATCGATGCTTTCTTCAGACATCGATGGTACAGTGGGAATCACAAACGTGATGGTCCCTCACTACTTCAGGCGTGGAACGCCTACATCCATAATCTCGAGGATGTAGGTCGTGACGCTTGGAACGACAAACTTATCAAAGCTCGTGATAAGTTTGAAAAGCGAACCCCGACAGGTGCACGCTATAAGCTGCATCGTCTGTCAAGGGAGAAAGGATTACCCTGCCTCTCTTGGGGAGACTCGTGCCCATGTTGTGTGAACAACTCTGCACGAGCACCTAAGGAGGCTTACCTCCTTACCAGCCCGTGGTGGCGCGTACGTGTCTCTACTGAGATGTACGAAGGGATTGACAACCTGAAATCCCTTTACGACCGTGCCGGGAAGACTTTCTCCGGCGGTCCTTCTGCGGCACAGGATGTGTCGCGTCGTACTGCTCGACCAGACCCAGTACGTCAACCATCAATTGGGAGCGGGGCTCCCAAGAATCCCAGGACGGGGGATAGCCGCGCCACCGGACGAGGTAACTCGTCCGACGTCCGTTCACGTCGCGGTGGTTCAACAGCTGCTCTACTAGATAGCGCTGGCCACCGCGAGAGTCCTCTAATGGAGGTGGAGGAGGAGCTAAGACGCTCTCCACACGATCATGTGGATCGGTGTGTTCCCGAGAGCTTCTTTGATCGCGTAACGCAAGGGTTACGCGACGATCTCGAGCATGAGCGGAATAGGCGTCTCCAGATGGTGGACACTGTCTCGAAGCATCGAGCTGAGTTTGCCTTTGCTCAGCTTGAGAACGAGAGATCTCTGACATCTCTTCGTGACGAGCTAAGGGTAGCTCGTGGGATTGTTGATCGGTCTCGGGCTGAGATAACTGCTCTTCAGACCCTTGTTGATGCCCACCATCGGGAGCACAAGGCTCTCTGCGAGATGCTTGAGCGCAAGGGCGTTCTTCATCGGAAGAAGCAGCGTACTGATGGTACGGCTTAAGCCGACCAACGTAAAACGTGGGATGCGTTCGCATCTTACGTGGTAACTCGATCGTGTATGCATTGCCTAGGCGGTGCAATACACGAAATGGGCCAATGTACTTGGGTAGTAGTTTACTGCTACCCAAGTTAGTCACTACATGTTTTGGTAGATTAACCGTAGACAGTAGGACTAAGTCACCTTTATTAAATAAAAGAGTGTTTGCCCTTCCATTCTTGTCAGCGTTTTGCTTTTGCTTATCCACCGCTTCGGCGATGGAGTCTTGCACAAAACGGACTACCGTTTCACGAGCCAGTATGAACTCATCTGATGACTCGTTAGCTTCAGTGTGCTGTGAGCGCACTGCAGCGACAACAACCTTTTCTTCAGTGAGGGCTTCCGCACTCTCACTGGGATCATTGTCTTCAGTGAGGGCTTCCGCACTCTCACTGGCATCATCTTCTTCGATATTGATGTTATCGATATCGGCATCAAACGCAATGACTTCTTCGTCAGAGCGTGATGAGCGTGAACCAAATCGGTTTTTGCTCGCGCGAGTCCCTCCCCCTTAAACCAGAGTTACACTCTAGTAAGGTGGGTACACGCGGATGGCGCAAGCCATTCACGTAAAACGGTGTATGTGTCGTGGACGCATGCACCGAGTTGTTGATGGCAAACTCTACCATCGGCAAAAACTCACTCCAACTCTTAAAGGAGTGGACGTATCCTCGAAGTATCTCTTCAAGGACACGATTGGCACGTTCCGTCTGACCATCTGACTCTGGATGATCAGATGTTGACATCTTCAAGCGCGTTCCGAGTGATTTGAACACGGAACGCCAGAAATCAGCAGTGAATCGTGGATCTCTGTCTGATACGAGTTCACGAGGCAACCCATGAAGTCGGAAGATGGTGTCAATAAAGACACAAGCACAGCCACTTGCCGTGATTGTCTCTGGTACAGCCACAAGGTGTACCATTTTGCTGAATCTGTCAACAAATACGAGAATACCTGTATTCCCGCGTGCGTCTTTGGGTAACCTGAAGACGAAATCCATTGAGATGGATTCCCAGCACTCAGCCGGAACCGGTAGAGGCTGTAAAGGTGCACGCAGTGAAGGACTTGACTTCACTCGTTGGCAGACTTCGCATGCGCGAACATACTTTCGCACAAACTGATACTGGCGGGGCCAGTAAAAGTCTCGACTTACCGTGAGATATGTTTTCTCTCGGCCACGATGTCCTCCTATAGGAGCATCGTGATACTCGAACATGATCCGCAAACGCAGATCAGTATCATCTGGAATGACAACACGTGGTGTGTCACCAGAAACGGCTGTATAGTACAGTAAACCGTTACGAGTAGTGTATCGATCTGATGCAGATCGATACGCAGACGACAATCGTTTCAACGATTCTCGAGATGGTTGGGAGAGATGTGACAACAACTTCACTATCTCACCATCTTGGGCGTATGCCCGCCTCACATCATCATACAACGTTGTAGATGGAACTGAGGACGTCATAACCGCAACAGTGACTGTCTCACTGTTGGGTTTCGCGACTGTTTCAAAGTCGGGACGACGTGAGAGTGCATCAGCGACGACATTAAGTCGTCCTGGTTTGTACTCGACCGTAAAGTTGTATTCTGCAAAGAATGACAACCACCGCGCCATTCGTTGTGAAAGGTGCGGGCTGTTCACTGCCGTGCGTAAGGACGCATGGTCAGTGTAAACAACGAAGGGTCTATCTCCTAATAGATAGACTCTGAACTTCGCGAGTGCATACTTCATGGCAAGGAGTTCCTTGTCATGCACTGGATAGTTCCGCTCAGCTGGTTGCAGCTGACGCGACTGATAGCAGACGACGCGTTCAACGCCTTCAAGGTCGTACTGCATTAATGCACAGCCGATTGCGAAATCGCTGGCATCACAGACCACATGAAATGGCCTGTCCTGATCGGCTATTGCTAGGACTGGGGATTGTATCAAGCTCTGCTTGATACCCTCAAAGGAGCGTTGACATTCAGCGTTCCATAACCACCTCTCGTTCTTTTTCAACAAACGAGAGAGGTGTACAGTCATCTCGGCGTAATTGCGTGAATACTTATGCAAATACGCCGCTAGCCCGAGGAATTTTCGAAGACCTTTGACATCGACCGGCACGGGCCAGTCGGTGATCGCCTTGATCTTTTCGGGATCAGGACGTACACCGTTCTTACCAACGATGCACCCAAGAAGTGGTATTTCGCTTGCTGCAAATATACACTTCTTGAGGTTTGCATACAATTGATGCTTTCGCATGATTGTAAGAACTTGTCGGACGTGGTACTTGTGAACCTCAACGTCCGACTTTCCATCCATAGCTCGACTATGGATGAATACGTCATCGAAATAACTCGGCGCGAATTCTCGTATTGGCCTCAACAGATGTGATACACATCTGTTGAACGTGGCAGGGGCATTACTGAGCCCTTGTGGCATTACTAGCCATTCCCAGAGCATGCCGCTAGGCGTGCTAACTGCGGTATAGGGTATATCCTGTTCCGCATTAGGATTTGATAGAAGCCATCCATCAAATCCATGGACGAAAAGATGGTACTCTTTGACATACCATCAATGATTACGTCCTTCCTCGGTATCGGCGTCTGAGCCGGTACCGTTGCAGCGTTCAATTTGTTAAACGCGTGCACTATCCGCCACCCTCCTGTTGCTTTTCGCACACAGAAGGTCGGAGAGCTATGTGGGGAAGTTGATTCCCTCACATGGCCCGCTGCTAAACGATCGGCAAAGAACTTGTCGATCGCAAGTACTTGTTCACGAGGCAGTGGCCACTGCTTCATGACACAGTACTTCGAGCCTGGTTTAAGCTCGACTTCGTGTCGAATACCTTTATCCTTCGGTAATTCGTACGGAACTGTTTCAGGGAATACATCCTTGAATTCAACCAAATCTTCATAGAGAGGATTTTCCTTGAGCGATTCCCATGATTGGGACTCATATCGCTCAATTCGTGTCTTTTCATCTAGGACACTCTCGTCCATAGATGAACTACTGAGAACTCTCTCGTTCTCAGTAAACACTGTTGCTGACCTTATGTCGGTTACATACTCGTCGTCAGCGACGAGTATGCAGATCTGCTTGACTTTGCCACTACGCAGATCACGCAAGAATCTTTTATGTTCGAGCGTTGGCAACTGAGTGATCTCCGAAGTTAACTTCGGAGGCGCAATCAGATCAAGTGTATAAGCGCCTACACATGATCCGTTATTGACTATGACATTCAATGTCTCTGTCATTTCCTGGGGACTTATTCCCTCAGGCTTCGAAGGACTTATTCCTTCGTCTTCCCGGGGACTTATTCCCGCGGGTTTCTGGGAACTTATTTCCGCCGTATTTGTAATCTTGGGACTTATTCCCTTTACTTCCTCTAGCTGGGGTTGCGCAACCACAGCGAGATCCTCTACGAAAGACTCCCCAGTCGATCTAGGATTATCGTTTCGCTTAACCTGAGCGATCGATTGTTTCTCTTCTAGATGTTCCCCTCTAGGGATACATCTTTGTCCCAGTCCACCCGACTTATTCGAGTGGTGGACCTTCGGCGCAGCCTGTGTCTCCTCACAGCCGCCGGAACTTTGCTCCGAAGTGTAACCGTTTGGTACACTAAGGTTTTGTGCAGTCGTACTAACGACCGTACCACAAGTGAGGCCATCGCACTCACTCGTAGTACATCCACACGCTTGTGGACGCTCCAAAACGTTCATCAGATGGCCATCTGATGAACAAGCGGCAGGCATCGTTACTGTCCGATGTTGCCAGTTTACCCGTGGTTCGTACCTTCTGAGCCACGGTATTCCAAGGATGACATCAAATTTGTCATCCAAATCCAATACGATAAAGTCATCGTCGTATTGGGTATCTTCTAGCGTATAGTGAATCTTCACTATACGCTTCATGACGGTTACGGATGCGCCTGTCGCAAGACGTACCGTCATCCTCGTAGGAGGTGTGTCACATTCACTGAATTTAAAGTGACCATCTTCTAGCGATTGGCGTCGCACAAAATTGTTGGACGCCCCACAATCGACTAGAGCTCGAAGGGACAACTTATTCGTCACTTCGAGTTTCAAGGTAATGAGTGAGACCTCATTACCTAGAGCAGCAACGCACAATGTCTGTGTGTTGGGAGCAACCTTCATCAAGAGGCCTACAAATTCTCTTGACGTTGCTGGATCAGTAGGGTGCTCCGCACCTACTGATCCTGTCCGTTTTTTTGACGGTCCATCCCGTTGTTGCGTCTTTGCACCAACTGCGGACCCTCGTCCCTGCCCCTTTCTCATGGGTGGACGGTCACTACGCCCAGTGTCGCGAGACACTGGACGAGGGGCACTACACTCGTAAGCGTAGTGTCCTGTCTTTTGACATCTGTTGCATCTCTGCAACTTCTTGTAGCCTGTAGAGCGAGCCTTCTCGCTCTCTACATAACAGAGTTCCATCGGCTCTGGACCTCCGTTGTCATATCGTCTCGGTTGACGATATGATGTCGAGCTGGCGCGAGCCTGTCTCAGACTGAAGTCTTCCTGCTCCGCAATTGAAATGGCTTGTTCTAGTGAATCTAGTTCAAGCCGGAACAGGTGAGTCTTGACGGGACCATCCGCAAGACCCTGCATGAACACCGAAACCAACGTGTGTTCATCCACCGGATTGGAACTTATACAACTCGTGAGATGTCGTATATGTTGAGCGTAAGCGTGCACATCACGCTTACCCTGCTTGAGCTTCAAGAGTTCGGTTCGAGCTCTGAACTCAGCTCTAGGCGGTTCAAACGTTTGTCTGAGCCGCGACTTGAAGACTTCCAACGACCCAAACGCATATGGGTCGTGCAGCTTGAGCCCCAGTGCCCAAGTCTTGGCACGTCCTGCCAGATTTGACTGGGCAAATGCAACTTGCATATCCCCGTCGTCGATGCGACGCGCCCTTATGGCGTCATCCAATTCGACGAACCATCTCAAGAGGGAGTCTTCTTCGACCCCCTATACTTTGAGATGTCAATCTTCAAAGTCTCGGGCCGACGCGAGTGCATCGACCCGCCAGCAGCAGCCTGCTGCTGTCTCAACAGTTCAAACTGTTGAGCACCTTGTTCTCTCAACAACTCTGCTTGTTGAGAACCTTGTTGGTGAAGCAAGGCTACTTTCTCGCGTTCTGCGTCAAGTTCATTTTGAATGAACTTGGCGATAGTAGCATGTTGGGCGTCTCTATTGAGAGCCTCTAGCATGACGCTAACAGCATGGATGCCCATGGTCGAACCCATTCGTTCAACCGCATCCCATTCGACATCGCTCAAATGGGAGTAGCCGTCACGCGTAGCGTGAAAGCTTTGGTCATCTTCATCATCCAACATATTATTGTTAGATGTGAACGTGGTCCTTGGACGGACGACGAATGGCTACCAGGTGTAACGGGGCACCCTGAAGCTTGTACTGGTGACAGTACAAGCTACTTATTCTGATAACAGAATAAGGCGGTGCCTCGTAACTTCACGTACACTCGTACGTGCAGAGGAAGACGGTAAGAAGAAGCGAGTACTTGGTTAGAGTAAAAAGTAGAACTGTATTTATAATAGTTAATGTCTGCAATAAATCACTATTTATCTTCATCTAACTATGTCTAAATACAAATGTGTAAATCAGTTATCTGCTCACCACTCATTGCGTGCGTCTGTCGTGGCGCGTCTTCGTTGGTTGATATAATGGCCTATATCAACCAATCAGGAACTACTTGGAAGTGCTACAGAATATTGTCCTTATGACAATATTCTGAGAATATAACTCTTATAGTTATATTCTATTAACAATTTCTTATAAATTGTTATGTAACGATTCACCCCGTTACATACATGACATTTCAAGTCCCGATGAGCTACCTTGACTCTACTCTGTCATGCCATCCGGTGGTGATCGACCGGACAGCATCACATGCGCGAGTTCACCTTCGTAGGACCGGACATCATGCTAAACGAACTAGTTGGCGACTAGAATAAGGATGTACAAGAGAAAAAAAAGCGTCTCTTCTGTCTGCTTGCAGATGTCTTGCCTATTGCTTTCCTTTGATGTTGCTGGTCTTCCTCTACTGGTATAGGCTGTAAACAGAGACTAACGTCAAGCTTTTAACTATGTAAAGTTACTACCCAGTTTGGGAGCCTAATAACCAGTTTTTGGAGGTCTTCGTGATTTGGCCTCTTTTGATTGAGAGTTTAATCTGGAAGTGGAATAAATGCCGGTTTGGTCAAGCTAAAACGACGCATTAATGTCATCTGACTTTTGTTCACTGATTGTATCCTTATATTCAGGTCACGAATGACATTGCACAAGTTGACTACCATGAGCGAAGTGTCATTGAAAACTAGGTCTTCGTAAACAAGTCGTGAGTTACTTAAGCATCCCTTAAGTACCATTCGATGTGTAATGGGGTCACACGCGACGGCTAGTATGACCATTACTGTGTCGCGTGGTCCACACAGAAGGTACGCGAATTCGATAGGCGTATTTCTGTACTAAAGACGTTGCGTTAATACTGTAACTTATCAAATACCTGTTGGATGGTAAATATGGTAAAGGGTATCCTAAGTACGTGATATTTTCTGAAGTTGCAACCTCAGAAAAATCAAATGAAGACAGGGGGGAGCTCTGGAGCTCGCCCTTTGGTTTAATTGACCAGGCCATAAAGCTAAATTAAGTTGCAACACAGTATACAACAATAGTTGCTAAGGAATGAGTGTGATACTGGTAATGTTTGTATATAACCGTTAAGCATAGTCAAGAAACGCGACCAGCCTTTTCTTATGGGCGTCCAGCATTTGCTAATATGATATTGTCACCTTCAATTGACTTTGAGACGTCACAAAAGTGACCTAGTCAAAAAGTGACATCAAAAAGGCCTACATATTTATGAGAAAGGGATATGCAGAGATCGCACTTTTGGGTGTAAAGTACACCTATTCACATTGCTTACAGACGGACGGACGGACAGACAGACAGACAGACGGACAGACAGACATACGGACCAGCACTATATAATTCGTTCGACATTTAACTTGCGCACAATCACTCGTATCTTCGCCCCTTGCACTCGCAATAATTATAGATTAGTTGGCAGAGTTTTTTAAGATGAGTACGGAATTAAGGTTTCCCATTGTTACAAATCTGCAAAAATATTTGCATTTCACCTCTTACTTAATAGCTGACATGTGCCTTCTTGAGACTTAGCTGATCGTAAGGAGGTGTAAGCTTCCATCAGGACAAGCACTCTTGCGCATTAGTGCCACTTTATCCTATCAGGACGTTTTTACGTTGAACCAAGACTAAAAGCTCTACGAGCTCGTTTGGACACTCAAGATTTGAGTATCGTTAAGTCTGTAATATTTTGAGACTCTCTGAGCATACACATGTCCAGTTTAATTTGCTAAGCGACTCTACGAGTCAAGAAGTCTTCCCCTGACTGAGGAGTTGAGGTAGATCCACACACTCAGTAGCAGTAGTAGTTAGACCACACCTGAGTCTTTAAAGACTGTGTTTGTGTAATATTGAAAACAAAGGTCGATGGGTCCAAGGTCATGTTATTAGCCGTCGAAGAACTTAAATTCTTAGTCGGAAAAGAATCAAGAATGTATTCTTCTTTATAAGGACCAGACGCAATTTATGCTCGTCGATGCCCATATGCATTTTAAGCCTTTTCTAATTTAGAGAGTTTGTAATTATTTGACATCTGCCATGCCTAATTAATAATCTCTTAACGGTAGACAAAGAGTCCAATGCTCCTTAGTATCTATTCTAAAGAAGTTCTAGGCAAACAAGGGTCGAATGTGTTGTAATAGAATTATAAACCTGCGTGATGTCCCCAAACCGCTCACTGTTCCGGGATTTGATTACATAGGTAGTACTGCGAAGTTGCGCATTGACACCCCCCCCACCTTGTGTACCCGTCGGCAGTCGTGCCGCACTGTTTGGAAGATTGGGTGAGGATGTAAAAGTTGGCCCTGACAGAAGTTGACTTGGAGGCCCCGGGTAGATATGCTTAACTCTTTGGTCCAGTAGGTGGCAACTCAAACGACCTAGCCGAGTGTGAGCTTTTTAATTAAATCCTCAGGGAGCTTTTCGCACCTGGCCTTTCTTCGGTTGTTAAAGAAGTGCTTGTTCCCTGTTTTTAAATTGCCTTTGTACCACCAGGAGGATAGACCGCCTCCGATAGCAGATTTTTGCAGCTTCTAGGCGCACCAACATGTCATAAACTTTTCTAGTATCCTATCCTTCACTTGAGCCTTGCTACACAACTCAATCTAACGTAGAGGCAATTTTAATCCCCTGGCTGTAGCAGGAGGGAAGGGCAGACTTAACGATTCCCTATAAGCATGACGAAGTAATGCCACGTGGATCGCGAATTGAGTAGCATTTTAAAACCATCCTATCCTCTTAAGCTCGTTAATCTATCCTTGCCTATGCCTTGGTCAACTTTTTGACTGGCCAAGCGTAGCTTGACTTTGAAAGGCTGATATCTGCCGAATAGGGGCTGGGGTGCCCTAAATATAAAACCATCTTTAAAAAAATTGTTTTTTTCGATTGAAGCGGCTAAATTGAGCCTATGTGTACTATCTGGGACCAGGCATACCATGAATGCGCTCCGGTTGACCCCGAAGTATCAAGACCTAGCCCCGAGGGACCGGGCTTATCTAATTTGAATCCGTGGTCGGATTTGCTCAGTACCTTTTAAAGTATTCTGATAAAAGTTCTTTGTGCATCTCGCATATTATCCTCGTCAGAAGGTCGTCGTCTATCTGTGAATGCTTCCTCTCCAGTATCCAATCCCAGGTATGCTGTCGATTATTCCTTCAGTTTACTGCGCCCTAGATCCACCACTTTCTGTAGGAGCTTCACCCCAAAATTTTATTCAATGCATTCGCAAAGTGAAAATGCCCATGAACCTGGCTTTCTCCCGAGTGGAGCAACTGCGAGCTGGTCTGGTCACTTAAAAGCTTAGTTCTTAATTGATGCAATGCGTTTTAACGTGTACAAGTCTGCCGACAAGGCTGTGGCATAAGGCCTGCTCAGATAATAATTATTCCGGCTCAATGCACCGTGAAAACGGTTTTTCATTTGTTCTCGCTTCGTATCTGGAATCAAGCAAGAAAGACTGTTAGAGCTATCCTTACAAGTTCAAACCTCTGTTCGCGTCACCAGATCACCACTTTCTCTACGATGCGTCTGGCAGTTTTTTAATCACGTGAATACGCTTAAACACAGCCAAAAAGAAAGAATTTTGGGTCCTCTCATCTTCTTCGATGCGACTGTGGGTGTTGTATTAAGCGCTGAGTCTAACTTGAAGGTAGCTCGTGATCCAAGCTCTTCGAAAACATCCATTTAATCTAATTAGGCGAGAATAAAGCTATTAGAATAGCCGAAGTTGACAAAGAAGAGGATATTCGTTTTTTGGATCAGCATAGCAACATTCACCGTGTGTAAGCACGAAGTATCAATGTCTCCATTTTCCATTATTTATTATGGAACTTTACGCTTCCTCAAGCCGAAATTTTGTCACTTATCTGCGGTCGGGAACAGCACGGTTAGGGGTGGGGCGTCCTGATGGGAAAGAATTGGCTCATGTGTACATACTAGGAAGTTAGTGGTGAACAGAGCTTTGCCTAAAAGAGCTCCGTACATTTTAACACGGTGAAGGAATAAATAGCAATACGTTTGGTCGCGAAGAGATTGTCAAAGAATATGATAACCTTTGGACGATTTTGATCGACTTCGGAGCGTCCGGTATTATCACAAATCTTGTTCTTTCGGAAAGAGTGATAAGTATTCTAAGACAATTCATGAGCAACAGGGTAATCTGATCCGTTTTCGTGCGACTACAGAGACCCAGTCACTATGCTTGATCATTATCTGAGTTCAAGAGTAAAGGTTTCCGAGTGTAGGGCATTGAATGCTGTTAAGCACCAAATTTGGACACGAGGTATGATCTCATCCTTGATATGGTCTGGCTTGATAACCACGAACCGTATATCGACTAACGACATGAGACCTTTGTCGCAATGCAGGATTTCTTTAAACGAGCTATGAAGATTAATGAACAAAACTCTGTTAGGGATATTAAGAGCTTTTGTAGACATCCATTGGCTGAGTCTATTAGTGTGCCAAATAATAAAATATCTGAAACCATTGCTATAACGATATCAAGGATGCGAGCATGGAGAAAAGATATTTATATAGTAACCTACTGAATGAATCATCGTTGTGATAACGGCTTACTTAATGCCGAAATATATTTTGATCTTGCATTGAGTCGGCGAGGGTTGGACTCATCTTATGAGCATGGACGGAAATGTGGTACTTAATGCATAAA